ATATAATGACATGAATAAACATATACATGCTATTAAAAACTCATGATTGGTAAGTTTTTAATATGCATACTTTACAAACATATATTTAAATTAGGTTAGATTCCCCGGTTAAAACTAACATCGTGTCCTGGAGGAAAATAGCTACTTACCGATTTGACAGCGCTTACCGATTACGATCGCCATTTTGCTTACAAGCGCTTGCTAGCGCTTTTTTCTGCCGAACGCACCCATTGAGTGACTACGGAATCGCTTGCAGAATTGCTGCCAGCGGTTTTGTGGCCCTACACACAACGAAGTAAAACACTATAGAGTTTTCAGTTCTATTCAGACATAACGCGTCTTTATCACCACAAGATATGATGTGTATGAATCCCCATAAAAAGATATTACAGCCTTTGAATTTTTATAATGACCTGCATATTAACTTTATTAATTTAGAAAATAAAAAATATCACATACTTATATTTAAGAATATTAAAAAAAATAGGAATACTATTGTAAAATAAGCATGTTAAATCTAATATCAGTTAAATAAAACACCAGTTCAACTTTATTTCTTTATTGTATATTAATAGATAACCGCTACTATTTGCGATTCAACAAGACACGTACACCACTTTTAAAAGCTTTTTAAAGTATTCTTTAATCAAGGACAGATTATATTAGTCATACAGAATAGTCCGGATTCTAACAAAAATATATATTTTTTAAATATACGAGGCCACATTCTATCATTAACAGGAATGATTTCGAATATTAAATAAATATCAATGCGTTTATAATTTAATTACAAAATCGCCACACTTTTAGATTTTATATTGGTTTAATTCTGTAACCTTTGTTTATTATTCTATGATCAATTAGAATTGTTCATTGAATTAAATGCCAAGATACACAACTTTTAAGAATGTATGTAGTATGTAGTATATATGTAGTACTTATAACATAATTAAGTACCTATAAGAAAATCTGAACGATACAATGTGACGTCATAAACCACCATTTCTAGCTATACATTATTAACAGCTATACAACAATCTCTGTTAGATTCAGCTACTCTAAACTTTGATTTAATAGAATATACGACTAGGCTTCTTCTGATTTGGTCTGTTCCAGAAAATCTGATTAAAGAGAATTTCAATAAAATTATTAAAAATTATTGTTGCCATTTAAAAATATTTACCTTTTTCTTAAATTCAGGATATTGCTAATTAATAATACGTTTTCTTTAAATCTAGGATAGACCAAGGTGCAATAATTGCAGCTTCTCCACGCCATCTTCGTTACACTTCTACTACGCTTAGCATTTTCTTAAAGAAACTTAATAAATACATTAAATTTCATCAAGATTTGCCTGTAGGTACAATTGCAAGTGTAACAAAAGTGATACAGTTGTATAAATTCTACACGACCGTTATATAAATTACTTTTGCGATAGTATTGTCATGGGAACAGGAGGTAAATACAAATTATCTCATCAATAAATATTAGCTTATTGTTATTTCTAAAGATAAAAAGATATTAATATTTTTAACTTATTTCCCTTGGTGACAGGTTATCATGGACCCCTTGGAAAAAGGCGAAAGGGTAAGAAGAAAATAAATCAAAACAAAAATGCATCATATTTTTATTAATTTCATAAATAAACTAAATTGGATATCTAAAGGCACGAAAGGGCTAGCAAAGTAGCGTAGCGTAGGATATATTTACATAAAACAAAAAAAATCGTTAAATTATATCCGTAAGAATAATAAAATGTACAACTTAGACATTTCAAATGATGTGTAAAACAAATTCAAAAATGAACATCGTTTCTTTTTTCATGTAAAATAAAAATTGAAACCTTATAAAATAATCTAAGAGGAAATCCCACTTTTCAAATAATCAGTCGAATCCACCACACATCACAGCATAAATTTACAAAAAAGTATGGCCAACTGAAAAATATAACTGTTTTTATTTCGCATAATTCCGATACATATTACTTTTAACGAGAACACTATTAAATTCATCGTGTTATATTGCACAAAAATCCTACAAATTATACACCGCGATGAAAAGTCATTAACGAACAGATCTCAAAGGGGGTTGCAAATGATATTTAATACCATTAAATGTAAAAGTTAACGCATATTTCAGCACTAAGTAATTATGTAAGTAGACACGTTGTGGTTTATATCTCACTGTTATTTTCATAATCTCTTTCTAAATAAGTGTCTACTAACATTGGAAAAGTTATTACAGATATAATAAGCACTATGTACTATGCAAACACCTACTATATATTTACACATAATGTATGCTGCATTTATTTGATTATGATCGACATACTAAATCACACACTATTACTTCTTACATAAACATTTGTTGATGATATATTTACTGCAACATTTTTAAATATAAAACCAATAAAATTTAACTGTGGTGTCACTTGACTTTTTCTTTCTACCAAAATCACTTAACTACCAATAAAGCGCGAAACAAAAATGACAACTATGGCAACAGTATTTGGCAACAATACTTTGTGCAAGCACATATTGAAGAAAGTATATATTATGTTATGAAAATTCATAAGCTTTTTATAATAAATCATAAGAACATAAATTGTAATACTACGAAATTACTATGCAGTCTTAAAAATATCACATAGCAAATCTTAATTTACACGTAATTACAAATAATATTCGCACAAAGTATTGTTTACAAAAGTTTTCGAGGCTATTATATTTATTTGCCTAAAGAAGGTTTTACGTTAATTAATAAGATGTGGAAACTTAAATGATTTACAACTGGGATTTAAGTTCAGCGTAATAGTCAAAGTAATAGAACTCTTAAAAATATAATACTTGAAATAATTTTTGGCGATTTCAACTGCATTTCCCACAGTCTACATAACCAAATAGCGGATAAAATTGTTTTTTTTTTCAATGAAATTATTTAACTGAGGATTTTTGAGTTTGCAATTTTTTACAGTAGTGTATTTGGAATGCGCTGGATCGCTTTTAAGATCGATCGCATTTCTCTTTATTAACAATTTTAGTCACAATTGATTTCACAATAATCAATTCAACTACAAATGATACAAAAGTTTAAGTAAATTAATTGAATTTATAATTACCCTACAATTTCCAATATATTTTGAGCCTTTAATGTGGTAACTTTTTGTATTAACAAGATGGCGACTGGCAACATTTTGTTTTTATCAAAATACAATTTCTTTTAAGGGAAATAGAAACGGTCCAGCCGTTTCGTAACAAGTAAAAATAAACTATGATGGGATATTGAAATTATTTGCGATCGATCGGCGAAATCTAATGATACCATGCCCCGACTATAAGCACCTAGTCCATATATTCAGAACAGCCATACAGAAATATACACCCGTAACGACTAATTTATAACAATCTAACTCGACAACTTCCATACATTAAATATGTAGTTTTTCTTGTGCACGCGATAAGAGTTTATATCTGTATGTGTTTAGAAATTTTATAAATAATTCCTTTAAGCTCTATTTCGAATATATAACTGTAGAAATAAAATCCAAATGAAGGAAAGTTTAAATAATAAAACATAATATTTCTATTTAAAATATCTGCATACACACATCCACAAGAAAAACCTTGCTTTACAAAGAATAAAAATGAGTACAAGATTTTTTAAATTTATTTTTGAATGTTCTATTCAAAAATACCGTTTATATACGTAGGCTTTTAACATACGACTACATAGAGGTTCCATTTATACATAATATGATAGTATATTTGAAATATATAATTATAACAGGGTAATAGACAACAACTACACAATGAGTTGTTCCTCAAATTACAAACGTAGATCTATATATAGTAGTAACTAGTGACATCTCGACCCCCACAGCTCATATATGCTGACATGTCTAACGGTAGGGAGGTAAATGTTAGAAACCGGAAGTAAAAATTACGTTTAATATGACAGACGACATGAAGTCATTAAAGAATGTTTGCAATAATTAATTATTTAATTTAGACGCCCTGCAGGCAAGAAAACAATTACGCTATAATTGTTAAAAAATGACATTTTGTACAAGCATGGAATGTGATATTGGTTATAAAATTTTGTAAATAAATATATTGAACTAATGCACCATTTCATAAGATAAATTCATTAAAACACAAATCGATTTGAAATTACAAATAAATATGATTGTCATTAATTTTCCAATTGTTAGAGATGATTTATAAAATAAAGGCATGTGGCGATTCACCACTGACATAAATTAAATAGTTGTCTATTAAAAAAGAAATTTTAAGTATTGGATTTTATAAATGAAAATTATCCGACCACATAAATATGGTAAGAATAAAAATTAACATTTAATTTCAATATTAATACATACAAAAACTTGACTATTAACTGACTTATGTATAGTAACAAAATTATAGGCTTGTGCATATGACTAAATTTCTACTGCACCAAAATCATATACCTGACAGCACACAAACAAAAAGTAATGTATGAAGTTACCTACCTGAATCACAAGTCAGCTTTAAGGATAATGACGCTCGATCAGACACACTGCACCTTGTACGTTACAATTTTTGGATCAAATTTGAATGCAGCTGTCAAAATTTATATGTTATCAATAGGATCGAAGATGTGGGTGGCATCGAACATCATCGAGATCAAAAGTTGCCTCCGTACGCTTTAGAAATTGTTCATTTAAAATTATGGCATAGCTAACAACTTTTAGCTTTCCTGTTATCTATATAAATAAAAGAGTTGTTTAACAGTTAAATAATAGCTGAATTGTTTTTCAATTCATCTATTATTTAACTGTTAGTTCTGTTGAACAATGTCAAACATGTACAGACAGCAAAACAATAAAATAAAATAGTGTATTGTTTTCCGATTCTCCTTAAACTGGTGACAGATTAATAACATCATAAAGAACTTATGGATCGAAGATCCCGATGAAGTTCAATTGCATTGATAAACCCAAAACTAAAATAAGATGACATTTAGCTGAACTGGTTGGTTGGCTGCGGGGGCACGGGCGGCCTCATGGGCGGCATCACGCCCATCGGCATCATGGGGGCCGGGCTCATGCCCATTACCATGCCCGGTTGTTGCTGCAATACGAAAATGATTCACTCAAATATATTTTCAAAATAGTATTGGTCAAAATCGAATATGTGAAATTTTACTATGTTCCATCTAAATTCTTATTGTTGTCACAGTATAACATATTAAACTCGTAACCTAAGCAATAAGAAAATATACCAATGAAGGAAAGTTTCTTAATATGTAGTTGGTTTATGGAAAATTGTGTCTAAAAATTTTAGTGCCGGTGCTTAATTTTTTATTTTCAGCTTCTAAAGTTGTTCCTTCACTCACGCACTCCACTCACTTCGTCACTTCTTTGCCCTAAACCCTCTCAGAAATGAGGGGAGGCCTGAGCCCAGCAGTGGGACGTATATAGGCTGTAACTTTACTTTACTTTTAAAGATATTTCAAGTCTGTTTTATTTTCCTCGTGTACGTACACAAAACATACTATGCACACAAAGAAATACGTTTAAATTAAAATGATGTATCGAACAGTTGTGAGCTCACTAAAATTAATTTTGTTTAGTGGATTCAAAACTAATCTACTATTGATTTTTTTTTGTGAACCCTACCTTGCTATGTATTGAAATGTGTCATGAGCATGAAAATTTTGAATGTCATGAATATGCAGTTTCACAAATTGAAAGATTCATACACGCAAAATCATTTCTAGCCATGCGAGTGATTCACACACGTGCGAAAGAATATCAATTATATTTAAACATCTTACCTTAAAACGGCCATATCTCATATTACATTAGTATATATGTATAATACTAGGACTATAAGAAAAGAAACTAAAGAAATCAGTCTGGGTTGGTACCACCCACTTGTATTCTGGTCTGAAGGATACAGAAAGCATTACAGTCTGGGAGGCAATCCATTCTGGCCCTCAAACATAAATATCGCATTTCTTCTTCTTCAACTTCAACCTTCTTTGTAAGAAGTTAGTTGTAAATAGCGGAAGTCTCTTACCATCATCAAGTGGACTATCAGTTCGTTAGTGACGAACGAACTTTCAATGCACCTGATGGCAAGTGGCTAGTGCAGTCAATGGACACACCTGCAGCAAAACACGAATAACGAAGGCTACAGACGATGTTGTCACCTCTGAGGACAAAGCTGGAATGCATCATAATTCATAACCTGTAATCATGCTAGTCCTCTAAACCCTTTAAACCAGTATACAGCAGCACAAGCACTGTAAATTACGGAAGAAATAATTATTATTAGGGTGGTCCTATGATACACACTGATGGTAGAGAATATATCCAATGCTAACAAAAATAAAAGAAAATAAAGTGATAGTTTATGTGCATGTGATATCTACAGTTTATTGTGAATAACACATGCACACAAAGTTTACAATATCCACCTACAAACAGGTGGGATTGTACTCAAGCACTGGCTAAAATAAAGTTTAAAAAAATCACCTATAATTACTTATATTGAAATAAATAAAAAATAAATAAAAATGAAAAGACGTATGCAGCAATTAGTACTGGATTAATACAAAAACCTTGAGATAAGAAATATGAGCGCGTAACAAAGTTTCAGTTCTTGAATATTTTATACTTATAAGGAATGGATATAGTAAAGGTTGAATGTAAAAATAAGCAAAAAAAAAAATTAACATAAATTAGCAACTTACCATAACATAATGCGGGGGGTGGTATGTATGGGGCAGTGTATGGGGCATTGGTGGTAATGCCATGCCGGGGCCCTGGAAAACGCAAAATAAAAGGGATGCTGGCATGCTACGGAAAGAAAGAGCAAAGAAAACTGACATAGGATTCCGAGCTTTAAACTAAAGAAGTTGAGTCAAATTTAGCGTAGCTGCTAGCAAATTATGCAACATTTAAAAGCGAGAAGGATAGAAATGTTCGCGTGTAAGTTGTCGATGCAATTCATTTTAATTCTATTAAAATTTTAATTAGAAATAGTCAAAAAAAGGCATTAAATAAAATTTTAACATTTTTCAAGCTGAAGAATTCTTTAATTATTAAATTGAAAAATAAAGTAACTCAAAATATGTAATATATACACAATACATATGTATTGTGTTCTTTGTATTGCTAATTTCAACATCAGCCATTTAAAATCTACTTTTGGGCCTTTATCTAGTTTTAAAAGCTTAATATCGATCTATCATCGTTAATTCTCAATTGACTCGGTAAAATCAGTCTTTGAATAAAATTACTTTTCAAGGATTTTATCGCGTTTGATCTGACTTGTTTTATTTATGTTAATTTTCTGACGTTTCGGGTGCTTCGCTGCTGCGGGTGTTTTTCTTTCAGCCATAGAGCAACATGAGACCATAGAACCACCCGTGGACCGGAGGGGAGTAGCCGTAGCGTTTTTTCCCTATACAGTACTGTCTGTCATTTTGGGGAGGGGGGGGAATCCACGCACAAAAACAATAGTTTGTCACTACAAAACTCACACATAACATTTAAACAGTAAACTATCAATTTCACACACAGATAGATTGTAACTAGACATCAGATTTTATGCATTTGCATATGCAAATGGATGTAGCACTCTAATTACGGCGTGCACATTTTAGCCTTTATCCCAATCGTGCATATTTCGTTTAGTAGCGGTAGGTACGTATGGGAACCTAGGTAATGAACTGTAGGGCGCGAGCGCAGTGGCTAACTGAACTGTTCAAATTTACTGCACGTTACCTGCATAGCTCGCGGATTTCATCGCCTTGCAGAAGAGATAAGGCAAGAGTATGGGAATGTTAACAAATTGATTTCCTCTACATAAAAAGTGTTTTAAAAGCACCATCACGTGTCCTCTCTTACAAAGAACAAATGCCAAATCTAACATTGCCACCAGAACCTATAATAACTCGATGGGGCACTTAAAGCGGAATGGGCTATTTGGGGGCTAAAGGCGGTGTTATTCTATGGCTACTCGCCCTCATCTCAACACATTTCCAGAACTTATCAGATGCCATAGAAAACTGGAAACAAAAAACCTTCCTCTATTCAATATTTTTTTATCAGAAAAGATTCGCACAAAGTTGGACGTTATTTTGCGTAAAAACCTGAATCTTAAAGACATAAAGGAACATTAATGCCTACATCAACGGCACAGGTCGCCTGCCTAAAAAGGTACTCCAGAAATGGCTTCAAATTTTAAATTTTGTCCAATGTGTTCAGTTGATGTAGAGAGGTCGTTTTCGGCGTACAAATTAATACTGGGTGTTTGTCACCCGTCAGAAATTTGCCCACGAAAATTTGAAAAAATACTACTTAATTGTATATATTGTCATAAAAACTATGCAAATATTTAATATTTAAGAACATTTCGTTGTTTAATTAAAACATATAAAAAAAATACGTGTGGCACTCGGTGACTGCCGCGGTAAAGCTATTGCGTAGCATTTTTTATCAATTTATGCAATTATAATTATTTATTTATTTTATGCAGTTAAGTCTTTGATATTAAATCAAGTTACACTTTTTGAGCGTGGTGACCGATAAGAAAACAATTTTTTTCTCTTATTGAATAAATGAGAAGTTAATATTGTTTAAAATATTTTTAAGTTAAGTGTATATATAATTTTATATGTGGTAGAGCCATGCTCCAGTTATATTAGTAGTATAGTCGTAGCGCTAATGGGCAGGCTCGACCGAGGAAGGACCACGCTCTCATAAAATACCAGCGTGAAATAGTACAGAATGGACATTGTGTAGAACTAATTAAACCTATTAAGTATAACAATGTCTCGTACGCTTACAAGCGTAATATAAGACTATTTTGAGAAGTCCTGTTAGCTCGCGAGGCCACGTATATTACGTGGCCTCCTGACACTCCCGTTCGCTCGCGACCGTAATGGCGGGAAAATTTGCAAATTAGCAAATTTTTTTGCTATAACTTGCAAATTTTGCTATATTTTCACTTTGAGACAATATTTATGGATAAAATTTACAGGAATTCTTGTTGAATGTATAAACTATTGAATAAAATTATTTTGGTTGTTAGAAATTATAATAAAATTCATAAATTACCCTTTATAGCATAAGTAGTAGTATATACTTCACTTTTAGTGCCAAAATTACTACTAATTTGAATTCAACACTTTTGTTTTTGGAGAAATTTATATGAAAATGTTTGGAAATATGTATATTTTTATGTTTTATGTGTTTCTATTCGTTACTCATACCAAAATATTAAAATATAAAAAAATTAAAAAAAAAAATAATAATTTTAATATTTATCTGTATGACATTTCGAACAATATTTCAAAAATATTTTTGTGTGAATTTGAAATAAATACAACGTCCAGTTATTTGAAATATGTAAGAAAACTATTTTTACTTACATTTTACACTAAAAATAAATGAGAATTGGAAAAATAACACATTTATGACCCCAACCGCCAAAATGGGCGTTCCGTATTTCGAAGTACTTTTGGCAATTTACTTTTCATTTTTTATACCACAAATTATATATCTACGTGTTTACTATATTACAAGGAATATAAAAAAGTATAATACTTTCGTTTTTAGTCCAGACACAAATATAAAATTCTATAAAAAAGATGGAGCACCTTCATCAAAACGACACGTGGAACGCCGAAAGTTCAGAGTGATTTCTTTCTTTTTTTTTCTAAGAAACATTGCCAGGTTATGGTTTAAAATAAAAGAGCATATCTTTGTCTTTGATACTATTATCTATTGCATAGTGTCTTTGGTTTTGTTTTAATTAAAAAAATTATTTTTCAAAGGGTAGTACTTGTGGTACACATGTGTATCTTGATCGAGCGAGCGTAAGATGTTTATGTTTGGTACACATGTATATGCTAATCGAGTCTACAGGTTAAGTGTAATAAATTAAAACTGTATTCTTTGGAGTAAACAGTAAAATAATAATTCATTATATCGCCATCTACTGCATTTTATACGTAAAATGATTTTATCGAACAAACATTGATTAACTTTCAAGGTGGTATGCAAAAAATACGCTAGATGGCGTAAACACGACATGATTTCATTCTCTCGGTGGCTAAATTCAATTGATATATAATTATATATAACTTGTTGTACATTTTTTAAAGAAATTAGTTCACGTTTGTTTGACATCATGTAGAACTACTTAAACTTATTAAGTACAACAGAGTCTGGTCCGCTTACAAGCATAATATGGTAATATTTTGAGAAGTTAAGTGTAATAAATTAAAACTGTATTCTTTGGAGTAAACAAGTATAATAATAATTTGTTATAGCGCCATCTACTGCATTTTATACGTAAAACGATTTTATCGAACAAACATTCATTACCTTTCAAGGTGGTACGCACAAAATACGCTAGATGGCGCACACGACACGATTTTATTTTCTCGCAGGCTAAATCCTATTGATATATACTTGTATGTAATTTGTTATGTTATCGGATTTTAAGGATGGCATAATACACATTTATGGATATAGGCATTTATATCCTATTGATATAGACTTATATGTCACTTCTTATATTATGAGATTTTATGGATACTTAGTTTACATAAATATAATTTTATTAGTTTTATGAGTTTGAACTGTTTTTGTGTATAAAAAGTAATGTAACATAAAATATTACTTAGATGCTTAGATATTAGGTAGGTACTGTACATTTTTTAAAGAAATTAGTTCAAATTTAGTGTTGGACATTGTGTAGAACTAATTATACCTATTAAGTATAACAATGTCTTGTCCGCTTACAAGTATAGTATGGGAGTATTTTGAGAATTAAGTGTAATAAATTAAAATGTATTCTTTGGAGTACACAAGTAAAATAATAATTTTTATATCGCCTCTACTATTTTGTAAAATTATTGATTAACTTAAGGTGGTATGTTAATTTTCATTTTCTCTTGTTATTCATTTTGTTTTTTGTTACTAATTAAACTTATTAAGTATAACAATGTCTCGTTCACTTACAAGCAAAATATGAGACTATTTTGAGTAGTTAAGTGTATTTAGTTTATACATGGTAGATCCATGCTGCAGTTATATTAGTAGTATAGTTGTAGCACGACGTTAGACAATGCACGGCCTTCAAGCCACATCTTCGTGCCCGTCGGAGTGGGGAGCGTGAGGTTTTTTCGTTACGGCGGAATAAATTTCTGGATTCGGTCCCCACGCTCAAGGCCCGCGATAGAAGCTATGCAATAGCTTAATAAAAATGTTTTGCGATTATGCATTGTGCATATTTTGGGCATATCAACAGTTTTATGTGCTTATTTTGGCCTTTTGCATGCATATTTTGGCACTTTGTTAGTGCATTTAATCCGATGTCTAATTATAACTGAAGCGCTCGGATACAAATTCGAATCGATCGCTCAATATTGTATGAGTGCTAGCGGCCTGTGTTGGTAAGCAAATCCGAGACAACACGACCGTTATTATTGTAATTTTCAATTTAACAAGTGGTAAAATTAAAAAATTAAGAAACTTATTAAAATTTCCACAAAACCAAAAAAACAACAATTTAAACTGAAATAACGCGTACGCGAAAATTAGGTCAAGCGACTCGTGAACCATCATCAAGGACACCGGCGTCGGACAAGTGACATAACAAGAAATAATACGAATTTCGAAAACACGCACCCTCCCGCCACCCGTCCTATGTCTTATCACTTCGCGCATAGAGATTTATGCCTTTGGTCGTCCATTATAAGTAAATTTTTCGTTTGAATTTGTTTTCACACACTGCAGCGTCCCTTTATTTTTAATTCTGCGCATAAGAACTATGCCTTAAATCGTTAGGCTTTAAGTACATATTTTTATTAATTCTTTTTCTTTATTTGAGTAATTCTGATTGGCAACGTTTGAACTATGATTCACCTTTGCCGGCCATGGGTCTTTGATCTTTTAGTATTCTTCAGGTGATAAATATATACATTTACATGATATTGTTTAATATTAAATCGAAAATAAAAAGATTACTGGGACTAGGATATTAATTGTTATATTTTTTAGTTATGTATGTTTAAAACGTTATGTAGGATATGTCTTTTCATTTAACGTGAATAACTTCATCGTCACTCTGTATATGAAAGGTGTCATTTTGTAAATTTGGCGTAACGGATCGCTTTTTGCAGCAAAATCAGAACAACTAGATTTAGTCTAGTGATCAATGCGGCTGCATCTAATTTTAATGTACGCATAGGACCGTGTGGACTTATACTATGACAGAGGAGAACGCCAGCGTATGACTAGTCCATTCCGGTCCGCCAGTGGCTATGTTTGCAGCACCCATGGTCACTCAAAAACGCTGTCAAAAACGTCAAAAACATCTGGAATTAATAGAGGTGAAATAAGTCAAATCAAACGTGATAAAATCCGTAAAATTAATTTTACTGATGTTTAGTATTCGTTTAGAAACGTTTGTTTGAATCCAAAGTGTATTGTATGCACTTGTATGTGACACAGTGTATGAAATATAATTATGAGTCTTACTTTATAAAAATCATCACAGGAAAAAGAACGAAAGGTTTTTGTTAGGTGTATTGTAGTTTTGTTATATTTTTGTTCTAGTTATTTTTATTCAATGTCAAGTATGGGGTAGAGAGGCTTTATACCTAGCACTTTGTGGGAAAAGAACATAAATATAAACATTCAGCCTGAGTCTACAGACTTATGTTTCGCACAACTCTTACACACCTCCCTCGCCTCCTTTACATCCTATACATACATGCTCATCAGTTAAGGGTACTTTTAATGTGGCCCATCTTCAATATATCGCCAATTTGGTCGATACACTTTCGTCTAGGGCTTCCCTTGCCGACTCTACCACTCACTTCTGCAACATAGATTTGTTTTGTCACTCTTCCTTCACTCAGTCTTTCTAAATGACCACCACCGAAGCATTGCTTTCTTAACCCTAGTCACAACATCATCATACACTCAGTGGGAATAGACATTTTTTTGTCTAGCGCTACGTTTGTGTGTGTACGTGCGTGTGTGTACGTGGTGTGTGTGTGTGTGTGTGTGTGTGTGTGTGTGTGTGTGTGTGTGCGCACGCGTTTGTGTGCGTGTATATCGTATGTGTGCGTGAGCAGTGCTTACCATGGGCCTGTAGCCGGCGCCGGTGGTGGCCTGCATGGGCTGCGGGCTCCAGGCGGCGCCGGGCTTCGACGCGTTCTTTGGTGACGACCACTGCATGGGTCTGGCGCACCCGAGCCGGTGGGTCAATGTACGTGCGAGCTAACTTCGTTTCATTGTTTGTGAGGGGGAGAGGCCTTATTTCTATTTGGCGATTGTGAGAGTAATCATACGACTGCGTATTTGAACGATATAAGAACAAAACGAAAACTTTTTAGTTCAAGGCTTAATAAGGTACATCAAAAAGATCCCCAATTCGTTTGTAGTATAGCTATAGTATGCAGATAACTTTTGAAGTATTCAACATTTTGTAGTTCGATAATTTTTGAAGTATTCAAAAGTAAGTAACTTATAAAGGAAATTAACAAAGGGCAATAAAAGAAAACTAAAGAGCCCAGTGTTTCATGCCGGTTCTTCTCTGGTCTTGTTTTCCGAAACGGTGTAGATTTTGACGTACATAAGAGATTTTAAATGATAGATAAATTGAATATGTTTTTACTTTTATTTTAAAACGCCCCTCGACAATCCCTCAGACACAATCAAACGAATGAATGACTAGATAGAAACTAGATGAAAGCATCCTCATACGTAACGACCTTATGATTGTGAGTGTTAAGGAGGCTAAAGAATGGCATCCTAAAATGTAATAGCATTTACATACTAAAATCACTCTGGCATGTGCTTGGTTTAAAACGTTTTTCTACAAAACTTCACTGAAAACTAATAATAATAAAAAATAGCTATTCATTTTTTATGTTGATGCTTTCACAAGAAACCATGTCAATACAATCCCTTTCTCTAGTATGACGATACGAATATTAACTATTAAAACTATCTTTTAATTATAATTTAACTTTAATTATAGTAAAGCAAATTCCATTTCAAGTAACAAATTACTCATTCAAATTTAGATTATTAAAATAATCGTATTGCATAAAGAAAAAGGGTCAGAATTGGAAGTAATATTTTTAAAATAAAGTACCTAAAATACAAAAATTCAATCTAGCTAGATGCGGTCACATTCAAATCACTCGACAATGATATTTAAATGTCAGACCAAAGACAGATACAGACAGAACACAGTCTATCAAAAGAAATGTACCTGTGTTTGACCTGGTATAGAAATTTCAAATCTATACTACTATTAAACATTTTGCATCATCAAACAATGATATCGGACTGCCAAAATCATGAATTACATCTTGTAACATTATAAATTCCGGAAATGGATATATTTAGAACACATTATGTTCCAAAATTTACTTAATAAGAATTTAGACAAAATATTTAAAAATAAAGACTGGTAGTCAGTGTCGGCAAACTTCACACAAAACATATCCTCGAAAAGTTTAAAGAAAGAGACATTACCTAAGACATAATTGCATGATTTTAACAGACGATATTCAGATTTCATAATGGAAGCCATATTGAGCAAAGAAGGCACATGTTACGACTTACTTCTGAGCAGCAGCGGTTTTATTGATGGTCAAATTATTGGCCAGTTGGGCAAGCGATGAGTCCAGGTCACCTGTTAGGACTTTACCGGGTTGCTGTTGTTGTTGTTGACCTGCAAGAGTATTCGTTGAGCTTATTGATTCAAGGTTTATTTTTACTTGATATCGAAATTAAATTGACTAAACATGCAATGAATAATCATTGATTAAAATTATGTATGTGTACTTTAATGATGAAGTATTAGCTGGGAATTATTAATTTAACATTGAAATAAAAGTATTTTTCATGAAACACTTATAACATGAATTATTAAAGATCGCAATGAATAAACGATAAATAATTTGGTATCAATAAATGGAATTATAATGAAATAAAAATGAGTCGAAATCGATAGCAGATAAAAATAAAATTCGAATCTATAACCAACGACCACAGACAAAAAGTAAAAAAAACAGGCAATGTTACTACTGGCAGGCTATATACAGATTATTCTGCATTGTGATCGAGCGCGCTGTGCTATGAGAAACAAATTAATAAAAATAAAAGCGATCTGTAAAAGAAATTAAAAAGCACATCGAATTGCCACTCTGCAAGCTGTTTAGTTTCACTCGAGATTCGAACCCATTGCCATCGGCATCATCGGTTGACGGGCTGGAGATCCGAACATCATCGGCTGGGACATTGGCATTGCCATCATGTCACCAAAGGGCTGAGCAACTGGTTGTTGAGTTATCGGCTGGGTTTGTTTCGCCGGAGAGCCTCCCAGAGACATTCTCATCACATCTTCAAGTTCATCGAAGGCAGACTTGGGCTGAGGGGGGTTCGGAGGAGGGGGACGGGCCGGGGAGGCCGTCATAGGGTGTGTAGGGTCTCCCATACCCATGAACGGGTTTGCGGCAGCTTGCGAAAAATTTGACATTATAGATGCTACAATGTACATTGTACATATAAAATATACAAATATTATCCTCCACCAAGTGATTGTTAATCGCTACAGTGTAATACTAAACTTAATCATAAAAGGGTTGCCATGTTACAATTTTTATTACAATAAAAAATACTCCCGTTATTCAAATCTAAAAGTTATAGTGAATATGATATATTTGTAAAATTATCGCATGTAAGTAAAGAATACGCTTTCATACAAAATATTAAATATTATAAGCTTGTATACCGCTTTCATTAATTTCATTCCAATTATTTAAAAACTTATATTCGAATGTAGTAGTGCGATATAAGTTTTGAAATAATTATGGTCCATATTTTAAAAATGTTTCTAATATAATCCCGGCTTTACTCATAAATTCAACGTCAATTAAAGAAACGTTTGAAGTTTCTCTCTTTCTGTCTTTATTTTCACTAAATTAGAATAGAAAGAAACAGGTATAGATATCATTTTAGGGGTCTAATAACAAAGCGGCAAAGTCCCATATAGATATGGGACTTTGCCGTTGTTATAGCCGAGCTTAAGTCGGCGTTAATCAACGATTATAAGTAAGGCCGTTTTCCTTAATTATTTTAATGAGTAAGAACTAAATATTTAGTTTTTCCTTAAACTCTTTTTTATTAGATACAAATATATTTGTGTTATATGATGTATGCCCAAATACCCAAACGCTACTCAATTTCAAGATGCCCCAAGTCTCGTGCTGTCTCTATCACTTCAAGTTAAAGTGACTGTGACACCATGAGACTTAACGACCCCTTCAAATTGAGTATAGTCTCCGTATTTGGCCAATAGGGTAACCGTGATTGCAACATGGCATCCCCGCGTACGTAGTGCACACATAGTCCTCACCTGCGGAGTCAGTGGTGTTATTGAATACGTTAGAGAAGTTAGCTTCAGACACAAAGGTGTTGTTGGAGGTGGGCTGGGCGGGCGCAGTGGGCTGCGCGGGGAAGTTCGCGAAGCCGTTGGTGGGCCACGGTGCGGCCGCCGGGGCTGCGGGGGCCGCGGGCACCGGCCCGCCCGCTACGGCAAACGCGATAATGCAGTACTCCCAATTGTACATACTCCAAATTTATCTACTTTTTTATTTGGTTTCGGTTTTTTACGGTTAGCAAATTTGCCAGTCTCACATAAAAATAAAACTTTTCTTATACATACTGTCCCAGAAGTCGACGTCAATCCGGAATCGGGTGATAGGTCAAGTCATAATAGTTAACAGAAAAATATGTAAAAACATATTTGCTATATATTTAAAAAATTACAAGCATTTATAAAACAAAAATCGAAAAAATCTACAACCTATGGTCTGTTACCTCCAGTTGCTACATTTTTTTTTAATTTTCCTGAATAATGCTTCTGAAAACAATGAAATAAATAAAATTTACAGCTAACTAGTCCAATCCAGAAAGAAATGTAATTTTTTCCCAACCAAGTATTCAAAATTAATACTTTGCTCAGTTTTAAATGACTGTAATGAGTTTGAAGAATAACTTTAAAAGTTGTCGCATTCAATAAGGATTCCAAATAGTATATATAACACTTGCAAGATTATTTGTTAAACTATGGAAAAAAAACAGTTATAAATAAATTTTCCTATCCTGTCTAAAATTATTATCGTGTACGCTAACGCTAACAGTGAACGAGTGAAGCCGGCCACAGTCGACCGTGTACCTGCTGTACTGCCATATGTTAGAGGAGTCACTGACAAGATTGGCTACATCTTGAAAAATCCATCAAAACATACTTCAAGCCGCTGAAGAAAATTGGTCAGTTTTTACCATCGGTCAAGTGTAATGTCCCTCTGCAAGATGCAGGAGTGTACAAGCTTGATTGTGAATGTGGTCTCTCCTACATAGGACAAACTAAAAGATCAATAAAAACCCGCGTTAAAGAACATATAGCTGATGTGAAGAATCGACGCTCCGGGAAGTCTGCAGTCTGTGAACACGTACAGGATCGCCCCCGTCACTACATCAGATTAGATAGACCACAGATCCTCGCTAAAGAACACCGATTCCTTCTAAGGATGATTCGCGAGGCTATTGAAATCAAAAAACATCCTAATTTCAATAGAGAAGATAGCTGGGCGCTACCATCTGCTTGGGATCCTATAATAAATAAAATTAAATCCCAACCCAAGCATACAACTGCAAGACTTCAAGATACCATAAGTTCATACTGCATAGATCGGAACAAAAGTTAAATTTTAATCTATGGTAACCGCGGTTAACTATGACATATGGACGTTGAACATCTCAGTCCTGCCCGTAACCATGAGTGCTGTAAAGCGTTCGAAACGTCGGGTATTTAAAAAGTTAAATATACGCGATAAATTCCGTAAAAACTAGTATTATTTCAATACTAGTATTTGAATCTAAGTCTACAAAAGACTATCATGAAGAGATGGATGGTGAAAGATTCCTTAATTGCTTCATTAATATAATGCCTAAGCTAGAACCAGAAAGTGCGGTTGTCATGAATAACGCTCCCTCTCATTCGGTAAGAGTCGAAAAAATACCAACAGCCAGCTGGAACAAGCAGCAAATAATAGATTGGCTGCAAAGCAAAGGAAATTCCATGGACATGACTTATTTAAAAAAAGAATTATTAATTAAAATTGCCGAAATCGCCCCACAATATAATAAATATTTAATAGATGAGACTGCCAAAAGTAATGGCATTACAATTATTCGCCTACCGCCTTACCATTGCAAACTTAATCCAATTGAATTGGTTTGGGCCCAAATAAAAAATTATGTGGGTGCCAGTAACTCCACGTTCAAAATGAGTGACATAAAAAAATTATTAGATGACGCAATAGCATTAATAGACGCTAATCGTTGGAAGAAGTGCTGCGGCCACGTGATACGCGAAGAAAATACAGTGTGGAATTTGGATGACATCATGGAACTTGCAGAACAAAATTCTTTGATAATTAATGTAACTTGAGAATCTGGCGATACTGATTAGTGATTTAAGTAATTTTAAGAAAATTTGTTTCTATTAAACTTAATTAAATGTTTGAAAAAAAAAAAGAATATTTACTCCACTGCGAATACACCTTTACCCTGAGGTTGCACTGATGACTCACTATTCTCTTAACGCGAACGGACTATAGTTTGAGTTAATAACTAGAATACGAAGAAACCAGTTGACGAAATGTGAACGAAACCGATAGTGACGCTAATGTGACAAAGACGGAGAGAGTAATTTTACGTAGTTTGAGCGAGAAAGATAGTGACGCTACTTTTTCTCTGTCGCACACACAAATAAGTTCAGTATGTTACGCTCCTTCGTTTACTGCGCATCATTCTATATTCGTCCGTGTTGATTTCGTACTAACCAAGTTTAGCTTCGTTTATTGTACTTGATTGCTTGTGATTTGGATTTGGCCTGTTTAGTTTCTCTTTAAGAAGACCTTTGCTTTCCCGTGGACTATCGTTGATAGTGTGATTGTGCAATGCCACTTTGGCGGTGGAAGGAAAAGGGAAGATCTCCTGCCGGGCAAGGTGTTCTGCCCGGGGAGCGGCCCACGCTCCGTGTGATAGTTCGGAGATGTTCTATATATACTGTTTATGATTCGGAACTTTGTTAGCGCGATTTAGGCTTCGATGTGTTTAGCTTGTGGCGCGACAACAGCGCCGCCACACCACCATGTCTGTGTACACAAGAATATGCTAACATGCACCTCATTTATGGGGAATGCAGATGCAAGCTAGTGCTGCAGCTAGACCGTGAATGGTAACCAAATGCTGCTCGACATCCGGATCATTGATTTTTTTTAAATGTCCACCGTTTACTCTTCTTAATAGGGCCAACTCCTAAACCAAGCACATGGTGAGGGGATACCTTACTTCCCTTACGAGGATGTTGTGCTAGAAGCTGTCGAAGAAGACCCGAGTACTTCAGTACGTGCAATAGAATTAAGACTGGGCAAAGTATACATTTTGAATACTTGGTTGAGAAAAATTACATTTCCTTCTGAACAATTGTAAATTTGAGTTGTAACAAGCAGTTGTAAATTTGAAACAACAGTTTTCAAAAGCATTATTGACGATAATATAATAAAAAGAAAATTTAAAAAAGTTAAAAGGTGTAGCTAAAGGAGTTAAAAGACCGTCACAGGTTATAGATTTTCTAGATTTTTTTTATATAAATGCCTGTTGTTAAAATACATAGCATTATTTTTTTTTTATATTTTTCTGTTAACTGTTATGTCGGCCTATCACCCGATTTTAGCTTGACGTCGACTTCTGTGACAGATTGTATGTACCCGACACTACACACTGAATAAAACTATTTCTACAGTTTTCATCGCGTTTATTTTTACTTATTTTTAATTTCCGAAGTTTCGAAAACTTCGGGACCAGGGTAATTGACGTCCCGATGTCAAAGTTAACCCGAAGTATCTTCAACTTTTTAATGATTAATTTTAGCCCGATCTACACAGAATATCCTAACTGTGTCTTGCAGTGGTATGTTGGGGTTTGGTTTTAATTTTATTAATCATTGGATCCCCGGCTATCTCGATCTTCATTAAAATTTACCCGCGATAAAAATCCATAAAAATAGTTATAAGTTTAGATTTGTTACACATATTTTGACTTAAGTAATATAATGAAGTGACAGCAAAGATTACTAACTTAAAAATGTCTTAGCCGTAGCCGTAACTCTTACTTAAAGTTGTTTGGTCAAACTTTATAATTATTTTATATAAAACGGTACCAACATAATTCAACAGAACGTTAAATAACACGAATATATAACAGCACTATATTATTGTTTATTTGCTAATGTTAGAGTTTTTGTTATTAACAGTTATGCTTTCACAGCTCAATGGGTGTTTGATCTCGTGGGCCGTTAAGGATGCTATCAATAAGTATAGTATGCATTGTGTATAAAGTATAAGCATTCCTTCTGTTTTAATTTAATGTTCTTATTAAGTCGTATTTATTTATTAAACATTTCGTAGTGTTAATGTGAAGTTAAGGCACTAGTTTCTATGAACAAGTTATGTTTTATATACGCTCATAGAACTTTTTAGAAATTTGTTTAAAACCCGTTGAAATATGATTTCGGCTCGGAGGACCCACATGGTTTATGCGAGTCTTGAGATATTTGGCGCACACATTTGTTTCTAACTGAAATATAATAATAATTTAGTCATTATAGACTAAAATAAGAGCCGTGGTTGCTCAGATGATTAGCGCTCGCTGTAAAATTCACAGTACGCGAGCAAACCGAGCTCGATCCCCGCGGCACCAATGAAATTGTTAATTGCAATTTTAAGTGCTGATTTACCACGTGCTCGGCGGTGAAGGAAAACATCGTGAGGTAAACGGCATGTCAGAGAAATAAGAAAAAAATATTTCGAAGACATGTGAAGTTCGCCAACACGCATTGGGGCAGCGCGGCGGACAATTATTTGCCCTAAAACCCTCTCAGAAGTGAGTGGGAGGCCTGTGCCCAGCAGTGGGACGTAATATAGGCTGTAACTTTACTTTTTTTACTTTAGACTAAAATATGACTATATTTTAGCTACAATATATGTAACCATTTAAATAATTACCTCGTGCAATATCTACAGCTATAACAGCTATACGGTGACTATAGCGTAATCACTGCTCTACCGAGTTTTTAAATATTTTGAAGAATTGAATATTATTTTGTGCCTTTTCAAAGATAATCTTTCAAGTGTTGCGTTCTATTATTATACTAGCGATCCGTCCCAGCGTCGCACGGCTGATATCTGGATTTTGACAACACCGCCAACTACCGAGTACAACTATAGCAAAGACGGCTTATGCTGAGATGGTCCCTTCCACAACTTCATCATAGCACATTGCATGCACATATAATCGACGCTTTTCTAATAACACATCATTATATTTAGTTTAGTACAAAAAAGAATAAATAAATAAATAAGGTGACCCCATTGTACAAATGAACCCATAAAAGTTCCATTGAAATCGGTCAACGAGAAGAGAGAACGAATTACGAAGACGCGTACAGTGGTGTTTTATAAACAAAGACATACATATATCCTAGCATTAATATTCAATTTACATACATTTTTGCAGGCAATATATATTTGCTTATACATATTTATAGGTTATCTACTTGAATAAATATTAAAAAAAAAGTGTGCCGATGAGTACCAGGAATTACATTTTTTCGTTAAATAAACAATGCAATTCGCCCAAGAGAAAATAATTTCAAGTACTATGTTAAATCATTAAAAATTTAAGTAATACGCGTGTACTGCACTGGCAATGTTCATTTTGCGCATATTTAATCCAGAATACGAAGATTGTAAAGTTTGTGCTAAACCATCTCCAAGTAAGCGAGAAAGTGCTGCTATGGTACAGTGTTGAGGGATATGTATTATTCATAGACTCTACTATTCTACGTATAATTAAATGAATTAGGTATAAGGTGATGTTAGACTACGGCAAAATTGTCCGTGTTTGTTATTTTTCGAGGCAACTATACAATATTTATTTTATACAAAATATAAAGAATTCTTTCAACTAGAATCATTGTAGTATAGATCGTCTAAGCTGAAATGACGCGCCCCACTATCGCATTAACGCACACAAGCAAATTTAAAATATGGACGCAATACATATACAAATGCCATTGTAATTGGTCATTCGGTTGTCGGTGTGGTCGTATTTGCTAAGAAGCGGATTTTCTTGGATTTTCTGTCCAACTTGTCATAATTGCCTGAAGGTGGCAGAGAGCGGACGTTTTGTTTCATACAATGCCCCAACGCTGCTCCCTAAGGAGAGCGTTGTCGGATTTATCACGCGACTAGTCGACCGTCACGTAGGCATACAGATCATAGTTCGCGGAACAGTCGACGCTCAAACACAGATGAAGCGTCGTTATTAATATTTACACTCAGACATCGAAATCAACTAATTAAGTAGTGGGGCGCGTCATTTCAGTTTAGACAAGCTCTACTAGCCTATGTTACTAATCATTCTTTTGTTAAAAATATTCTAATTAAAAAACTAGTTTCACAGCGTAATTATAATTCAGATTTTTTTTATCTGTATTATAAGAAAATAAAGAAAAGGCACATGAAAGTAGATAAATCAAATGTTAACAAAGAAGAGTTAATATTTGATTAATTAGAGTAGTAGTTCGCCACAATAACGAATCAATATTAACCACTACTGAATTGCTAAAATTGAAACTTTATTTCAAATATGTGTAGAGTTTGAACCTACTATAGACTCTTATATACAATATTACAAACAATATTTACAATTAATTAGTAATATTAATTTAATAGCGCTTACCACCAAACATGTCGGCAAACGGGTTGCCCAGGGACAGCAGATCGTCTGAAGCTTTGCTTGCAGTGCTCGTTGTATCCGATGGCGCCGGACCAAATAGATCCACGATGGACTGGTTTTGGTTTTGGTTTTGATTTTGATTCTGGTTCTGTGCCGGCGCGGTCGACAGGAATGGGTTGTTGGCCGCGGAGTTTGTTGGAGATTGGACCTTATTCTGTAAAAGTTGGAACTGGTTTTAGGTTGCCTTTTAATTAATGGTGAATCCCTTCACCCAAGTACATGAATACGGTACAAACAAAACGTGTATGATGAAAATAATTAAATAAATGAATATTTTAAGTGTTTTTGACGTGACAACGTCCCGCTCCACAGGCTAGCGGGTTCAGTAATTCGCAATCTCTTTACGAACATGACAATGTTTACCATCGATTCTTTCTGGGGAACTATACGTATGATAAAATATGATATTGTTTTATATTACGTATTACGTAGCTTAAGATAATACTAACTTATTTTTTATAGTTTTATAAACAGGAATGTTTAAAACCAGTATCAAACAATTTATTGTAACAAAACCAAAGGCTTGTAAATCAAAAATATAGTCTAAAATAGTGTGAATAGGAAAATTAATTTTCTTTTTTATTAGACGTTGATAAGCTTTTAAGCTTGTCAACTAGCCAGTTAACTAGACTCTACAGAATTAGTAATTCATTTATGAAGCAAAGTATACTCTTTTACTACAAAATCCCAGAAAATATTAAACAAGTTTAAATGTTTTATTAAAGAAAAATTGTACAAAAAGGGTTATTATAATATAAATGAAAATAATCCCTGGGAATGAGGTAATCGTCAACATGCTGGTTCTATAAAAATACATACAAAAATTGTAACAAAATAAACTTATTGTGAATTTAAATATGTTTAAAAAAAAGTTCCGCTGGGTTTTTTTGCTGGTTCTTCCCAGGACAGAAGTTTTCTTGCGAAACAGTGGTAAATTAACAAATTAACTTTCAATAAGTATTATACAATAATCTATATTGCATAAAAATCATTCAATTCATTTTATTTCTTAAAGCGAAAGTGTCGACGACACAGACAATACCAGTATTTTTTTACTATGATCTCTGAGGAACCCAAAATAATTTTAAACACCTTTTGAATAATAAAATGAAATCTATCAATTAACAACAATAATATTTTTCATGTTAAGGAACCCATAATAAAATAAGAGTTTTCTTCCCCGTTTCCCAGTGTTGTAAGAATGATGATATGTGAAACGCATAACTCAATCCCAATGTCCAATATACTACAACGTGGAATGCTACCAATATTAAATTATTCCTTTATAATCCATATACATTAAAAGTACATTGAAGCAGTGTGTCCTAAAATACATATAGTAAAATAATCTTAACCAGTATATTATGTTTTCTAAAGCGGAATGGTGAAGCAAAACTTAAATTTTGACCTCATCGCCTTGAGAGCCTAGATCATGATCAATTTACGGTCTATTGAAATCGTTTAACCAATTAGGACATTATCAATATCAGCCAGTAGCCTCTATGACCTCGCCCAATTTTTTACCGTAATACTCTCTCCTGAACAATGAATTGGTGAAATATTAGAAGCTCGGGCCATAGATTCTACTACCCGACACAAAAATGTAATAACAACATTAACTTTGAAATGAACAATACATACAAAATATTGATATTGTGTTATGATATACAGAATAACATCAGATTACAAATAGATATGTTACATTTTACTCATTAGGTACAAAGCAATGAGGTGAATTGTGTCTTGCAGCAGGAGAAAAATTGAGTAGTTTAATAAGTCTTACACTGTAAAAGCTCAAGTATTGTTAGTTTTGATAAGTTATATTATAACGCAGGCCCCAATTGTATGGTCCAGTAGTACTCTGTCCCTGGCTGTTTTCCACCAACATTTGTGCAGTATCAAATTATTGGTTTTTGGCTATAATTGTAGTGTCATTGTTCCTGTGCCTCTGACACTGCATCCTAACCTGTCTCCGATTTTAATGCATCGGCATTATATCGGGCACGGGTATATTAGGACTAGTGAAGTGAATAATAAAAATAATAAGTATAAAATATAATCGACATTTTCCAAATCGATTAATAATCATTTACTTAAATTGTTAACATTTTTAATGATGAAAATCAATGATTTTGAAAATCGAGTTCATATCAGATCTTCACGTTTGACATCCTAGGAAGCTGTTCTGATTATTATAACGAGAATCAACATTTGCGCGCGCGCGTGCACGTAGTGTGCGTGTGCGTGTGTGTGTGTGTGTGTGTCTGTGTGTGTGTGTGTGTGTGTGTGTGTGTGTGTGAGAGAGAGAGAGAGAGAGAGAGAGCGAGAGAAAAGCGCGTGTGCGTATGTGTATGTAAACTCCTTATAAATTTTGAACGGCTTGACTGATCGAAACGCATTTCACGGCATTCGAAAGAGTTCTGCAACCATGAGATTTCATGTGAGTTTGAATTAATTCGGCTCGGCAGATATTAGAGAAAACTCAAAAAATTAATTTGCAAAAAAAAAAGTTTTTTGAGATAACTATTAAACTAATGTAATGTAATAACTAATTATTAACTTAATGTAATGTAATAAAATCACATCAATTGCCGCAAACATCATCAATATTGGTTCAATCGTTAAAGAGAAATCGTTGCCGAAAAATTTCCTCGGAGCTCAAAAACGACGTAATAGGTTGACTTTTTAGCGCTTTGCATTTGTAATTAGCGGGAAGTTACAGGCCTGTATTGTATTGTAGGATAAATATATAATAAGTATTTTTTTAATTATTCTAAGCCAGTATTTGACTACTATCCCACCTGCTGGTAAGTGGTGATGCAGCCGAAAATGGTAAGGCTCACTGACTTAACAAAAGCCTGTTCACTCTTGCCTTGAAAACACCCTAGTTGTAATCGGATGGAAAGACAGATACTGGCACCTTATTTCACTCCTTTTCTGTACGTATGACGGAGTTTTTATCAGCATAAAATATTATTTATATTTTTCAAATACAAAACTTGACTGGTTAGTACGAAAATCAAGTACTTTGTGAACAAGCTACTTGAACTGAAACTTTACTAAATGGTCGTCTTGGCGATGCGTAAATTACTTCGCTGGCTAAGAGCGTTTTGCTTCAGGGTAATCTTTTGTCAGGGCCAATTCTAACGTATGGTATTGACACAGTAATATAATATAAAATGAGTTGCTTATTATAAAACTTCGTATAATTAAAAAAATAAAACATACAATATTTACAGTGTATATCTTCTTTTATTTAGGTAAAGAACTGATCTCAAAACATCTCTCAATTTAATAAAACTTAAAAGCAAAAATAGGTTCATTCGTTCATGAGAAATCGTCGTCAAAAAACTTCGTTCTCTTGAAAATTGTATGACGTTTTTGAGCTCGTGGACTTTGTATTTGCGCTTTGCATTTGAAAATAGCGGTAAGTTGCAGGTGGGCTATAGAATCAACCGTATTTTTTCTCTAGGTATTCTATAGGATACTTTCAGAGAGTGTGCATAGGATTCATCACCATCATCATCGTCACTGCTGAACAACGGCCTACCACAAGTAATGCCACAAAGAACGGTCCTGAACCACTTGCATCCATCGACGTCCTGTATGTCTTACCAGGTCGTCACTCCATCTACTGGGGCGTCAAAGGGTACAAGGCTGCAGCTCTTAATTCTTTTTTTTTTTTTAATTCTTTAATTCTTTATTTAAATCACAAGGTATTTTAACATAAATAAGTGGCTAGAGCCTCCCTTTAAGCACAGAGCGCCTGTAGTAGGAGGCTCCGCTCTTCCACAACTTCACAAACAAAATCTTATGAAATACTTTTAGACAACTAATATAAAAACGTGCATGCTTGTGTGGTGTGTGTGTGTGTGTGTGTGTGTGTGTGTGTGTGTGTGTGTGTGTGTGTGTGTGTGTGTGTGTGTGTGTGTGTGTGTGTGTGTGTGCGTGCGTGTGTGTGTGTGTGTGTATGTGTGTGCGTGCGTGAGTGCAAGCGTGCGTGCGTGTGTGTGCGTGCTGTACTTATTTGAGTATTCATATGAGCGACTTTTCAAGGAGAGACTCAATTTCCTCATAATCAAGTGGTTGTAGATACTTTTTTTACTGCATTTTTACATTCGTAATGGGTCATTGTGTAAATTCCTACATGTTTATTAATTTTGTTGTATAATTCTGCTGCGCGTTTACTATACTGAACTCTAGCAAAAAACGTGTGAGTATTGGGAACTTGTGCTACTAATTCTTTTCTCCTCTTTTGTAAAATATTTGGATTAAAAGATAGGGACTTATGTTTCTTTAATATTGTGTGCAGTACATAAATTTTTCGTACTGATAATAACTGTGTTTCATTGTAAAGACTTGTAGTAGGATATCTTCTGTTTTTAAAATACATATTTTTAATTAAACCACGTTGCGCACGTTCCAAGTGGATAAATTTTGTTTTGCAAGCACCCCCCCCATATAGATATACAGTACCCCAAAACGGATTGTACCAAAGCTGTGTATATATCGTTTAATAATTTGTTTTGCATAAGTTCAGTGGACGCTTTTCTTGGCGCCACATGTCTTAAGGTACGAAATATCCAATTTAATTTAGCAATTCTGTTAGATACATGTTCTATGTGAGAATACCATGACAATTTCTGGTCTATTATTACACCTAAATATTGTGTATATGTTACTTTATTTATAAATGGACAGTTATTATTAAAGGCGCAGTTATTTATGTTGTTACACGTATGAATCCTTATATTGAAATCTTCCGAGGGTTGCGTGCGTTTAGATATACTGAAACAGATATAATTAGTTTTTGCTGCATTAAGGGTCAGTAAATTCAAATTTAACCATTTTGCCACCTGGGCCATCCCAAATTCTGCCCTTTCCTTAACTTCTTGCCACGATTTACCTTTAAAGATAACTGCTGTATCATCAGCATACGAAATTATTTGTGCGTTTTCTATTTTTAAGTTGCACAAATCGTTTATGTAAAGCAGAAACAAGGAAGGCCCCAATATACTGCCCTGTGGCACACCATATGATATAGTTGCGTCGTCACTAATAAACTGGTCAACTTTTACACATTGATTTCTATTGGAGAGGTAGTCTCTAAAAAGTTTAAGGGCAGTACCTCTTACTCCGACTTTTTCCAGTTTA